TTAAAAATATTAAACTAAACAAGGCACATTGCCTAATCCCTACAAAAAAACAATAATCATCGGCAACAAATAAAATAAAAAGTCAATTTTCCAAGAAAAAACCAAACAGCCGATCGCGGACACACACCAAAGTTGAACAGGGCAATAAAGCTGTCAACAAAACAATTCAAGAATAACAAACCGAGACCAAATAAACTTGACACTTAAGACATAACACATAATCTAAGAAAACATAAACAAACAAAAAATAGCACTCTAATCAATATCCATGGAATCTGTAAACACTTATTTCTTTGCGAGGGAGTTTATCATGTGTGCCGATTATCGTACCAGCGGCACACCTGCGCGCTAACTAAAGCAAACAGACAAAAATACGCAAACTTGAACGGAAGATCATTACACTACTAACGACAGACTTACCCGACTACCATCTACAACATCCCCGCGACCTGCTAATGGGAAAAACCATTACCAAAAGGGTAAGAGTAGCCCAATTAAAATACTGGGCCCACGTCACTCGTAGACAACGCAACAACATACTACAAGCCACCTTTAAACTAGATCTTAAAGACAAAAAAGTCGGTAGACCATGCTTTACATTTCATGACACGTTAGCACAAAACATGCACTTTTCACAAATTAACAAGACTTTTGGGAGCAACTAAGCAACAATAAAAATAAAATAAAAAAAACAACCGACACACTTTACCAAGTTCAGGAACTATCCGACACCGACAATGACAATAATGAACAAGACGAAGACCTCGACTAGGAAACTACACCCCTGCAGCGTAATAACAACTCCCCAACTCCAAATAGTAATCCCAAATGTTTGGAGTAATACTAATCGACTGGTCTAGGGGGATTCCGCATCGTACTTAGTTTTAAGTCGGCGTAATTGTCCCCTAAAAACCAACTCCCTCCCGTCCCTCATCCATACCCCACTGAGCGTATAGCATAGGCTCGGCGAACCCGGGAACGGCTATTATAACTATTCGCCTCTCGCTCTCGAGCCCCAAATAGGGGACAGTACGGAACGCAATGGACATTCGCACCCAGCAAACACGGGTGAAGCCGTGCAGTTGTTGGGGAAGAACAAAAATCGGCGTAAGTAAACATAGGCATGTACGGGGTTTGAGAGTCAAGAGGAAATGGGGCTGGTTATACGTCTCTTATACTCATACTCATATACTCATACTCAATCATATATATATATATTTATATAATTATGTTTGATCATATATAATAAAATGTATGGACATATATGATTATATATGATTATTCGTTTTCGTATAATTGGCTTTTATACAGACATTATAAAATTTCTGGTAAAAAACAACACCAAATGTGGTCCACACTAGAAATGGTATGTTACGCCGAATATTCGGCAAATATTTGCGTAATTGCCGATTTCATGTAATAGGCAAAATTTTGCGGTAGGGTTGTGTTGTTGAGTTTGGCTCATTTTTGCGGTATTTTATCAATATTCATTTTTTTACAAGTTTTTTTTTCTCCTTTATGTCCGCAAGCTGTATGTAAATCTCGAATTACATTCCATGAATTCGATTTAGTAATCATTATTTTGTTATCTTTAATTCTACATACTTTTGTTATTCCAGAAAAATCTAATAATTTGTAGGTACTTTTAATGTGATAAAACTGCCTGTTTTTTCTCGATAGTTTCGCTATTGCTTGTAGCGTTTTTTTTTTTCATATTCGTCGTCCCACACCTGACTAGATTTACCAACTTCACCCTTTTTAACAATATATATTCACGGATAACACCAAATATTACTATTATTCCGAAGAACGGTATTTACATACCTACAACATAACCTCAAATTTAAAAATAATATATGGTTGCCTCTTTCATGTAATCGGCAAATTTATATATGCCCAATTCATGTATTCGGCAACATTTTGCCCATTTCGGCAAGTCCGTTGCCGATTTCACGAATTAGGCAAAATATTGCCGAATACCTACATGAAATCGGCAATTACGCAAATTCGGCGTATCATATATAACCACAAACAAAATTTGGTAAATTTTACCCTTTTTAATTGAATAATAATCTACACGTACTATTCGTACAAAAACTCGTAACAGTGTAAAAATCATCAAATATAATAGCTCTTAAAAGCAACACGCACTATTGGTAAAAGAATTTCATTCAAGAGTACAAAATGCTCAATTTAATGTAATTTACTACACAGGTGTTACCTACGTGTAGTTGTTAAAAATGGTGGGTGTTTTAATATTAAACACAGCATGTAATGTAAAATAAAGTATATTTTGTATTACTTAAAAACTATTAGATATGAATATAAATACCCTATTTGTATTCATTTGAAATAGGCTTTGGCATAAAATTAAAAAAAAATTGTATTCTTAGCTTATATAGGTATATAAGTTAAATATGATTTTTCACTAGCTCAAAAAACTTAAAATATTACTAAATTTCATATTTCACTTAAAAATAACAGGTATAAAACATGTTTTATCACAAACATGGATTTTAATTTAAAAACCATGGTCTTAAATTAAAATAGCATACCCTAGAAAAAAAATTATATATGATCATGTATAATTATATATAATTTCATTATATATGCTCATGAATTTTGCCCATGTATGATCAAACATGAAACAATTTAAGATATCGGGTTATCCTTTATGGGAATGTGTTTCTTTTTTTATTACCTTTAAAATAAGGTGAGTTGCTATTTAAAATTTTGGGGTGGTCATCCCCTAAAATAACTTCACTTTGCATGGAAGTTCTAAACTATCTAAGAATGTAGTTTTTATGATCCTATAGTGATCCCAAAATTTTCAATTTTTTTTCTTCACTCCTTCAAAAGTTATAGCTCCGTCCCGAGACTTTTTGGAAGCCCTGTATAATTACGTGGACCAAAATTCAGTGGCGGCTGGTTCTAAAGGGCACAAGGGCACGTGCCTACCCAACCGCCCAGATAAAAAGTAATAAAAGTTATTTGTTGCATTGTGCATTATTTTAGTTATACGTAAAACCATTGTAATTACTATTTAAGGATGATCTCAAACCTTCTTTCCGCCCGCTCAAACGGTTGAATTTAATTAACTCAACGCAACGCTTCAGCGCGCGGCGGGGCACAATTTAAAATTTACCTATTCCCAGTATGATTCGGCGATCTTCGGTTATCCTCTCAGTACGCGAATATATCGTCAATTTGGGGCACCGAACGCAGTGTCTCTTCAAGTGCTCAGCTGTTATCTGTGTTTGATTTCTTACTTTTTTGTTGCAGCGCACCGTTGTGTTTTTTTTAGTTTTAAGTGAATTACGTGTTTTGTTTTTTAAATAAACTTTATTTTTTTATTGACAATAATGGCACCAGCGAAAGTAAGTTGTGTGCAAAATCTTTTAAAAAGCCCGGTGTCACTTGAAGATAAACTTTTAATTAAGAAAAAATACGAGTGGATATGCGGATGTAAAGTAACCAATAAGCTTTTTTGTTTTATGTGCTTAATTTAGGTGCGAGGAATTAACATGGATTAGTTGATTTAAAACAAATCGCAGAGAAACACGAAAATTCAGTTTCTCGTATGAAAAATAGGAGAATGGACTTTATGTACAAAAATTAGAAGTTTTTTGTGCCCACCCTCTTCCAGAACCAAAAAATTCATGTATGGTCATACATGGGCAAAATTCATATATGATCATATATAATGAAATATAATTATATATGATTATTAGGGTGGCCCAAAAAAAAAGAATATTTTATATATCTTGTGAAAATATGTTGGTTTGTCATGTTTTAAGAGCCCTGTCAAAAGATCAGCACCATTAAAAATTTTTAGGGGTCGCTCAAGATTTTTAAAAATTACCCAAATCGTCAAAAATTGGATTTTTTTTTATTTTAATTTTTTTTCTCGTTCCGATATTATTTTTTAATTTAAAAATAATAATGATTCTGAAAATTTCAAATCCATAATTTAATTTCTAAAGGTCGCTCAAGATTTTTCGAGTGACCTCTGAATATAAATATCAACGAACTTTTAGCGACCTTTAGAAATCAAAATATTGATTTGAAATTTACAGAATTTTTATTATTTTCAACCTAAAAAATAATATCGAGACGAGAAAAAGAATTAAAATAAACCAAAAATTCAACTTTTGACGATTTTGAAAATTTTTAAAAATCTTAAGCGACCCCTACAAAATTTTTAATCGAGCTGATATTTTGACAGGGCTATTAAAACATGACAAACCAACATATTTTCACAAGAGACGAGAAGAAAAAAAATATTCTTTTTTTTTTTGGGCCACCCTAATGATTTTGTATAATTTTTTTTCCGGGTTCTTTAATCGTTTGCGGCCATCAACAAATTCTTGTTAGAGTAAAAATTCATATTTAAATGGCCAATAAAAACAAACAAAGATGCAAAAGTTTAGCTCAAAACAGCAACACGAAAAATATATTTAACTTTAAAATATTATGAACAGTATTAATAGACAAATAAAATTGATTTTTATAAAAGTGACTGGGGCATTGGTTAAACCATCCGATTGACAAGCTTGACAAGCGACAGACCCGAGTTCAAACTCCGGCTGGGTCAGAACTTTTTTAAATTTAAATTTAAATTTTTACTAATTTAAGTATTTAATTTAGTAGAATTTGACTAATTAAGTATAATAATTATTAGTGACTGCTTTTCAAATATGACTTATAATTACTTAGTTATTTTTGACTAACTCATTTTAAGAGAGTATATGTACATATTATTGGCCATGCAAAGTTTGATCAATTCCCAAAATTTTACTTTTCTATCTTAAAGGGTTTTGTAGATATTAAATAAAAACCATTTTCAGGGGCTCCTCTTTCGGGGGCTGTAGCTCCCTGGGAAAGCATTTCTCGACCTATGTTTATATATAGAAACTTTTTTTTTGTATACAATATATTTTTGTACGTAGAATCTGCTGTTAAAGTATTGCACGCTAATTATGGGACACTGTATATATTACCTGTTATACCATGTGCAGTATAAAGATGGTAACCTGGTTGTATGTTAAAAAAGCAAACAAAACTACCAATAATGGTAAAAACACTAGCAACTGCTATTAAAATACCATGTATTTTATTTTTTGTGTCTTTTGATAATTGTGTAATCCATATTTCATCCCCAGTGAATAGCATTATGGCCTCTGCCATAAGGGGAACATACTAAAATATGGTTAGAAAGCAATCAAAGCAAGGTATTCTCCACAGCACACTAGGTGCGATGAAGAATGCCGGTTTGACTGGTTTATTACGTCCAATAAAGATCAGTTTCTATAGAAAGTAAAGACGCTAATTTCAAGAAACATCCACAGTAAGTGGGTCCCAGTTTGTATATTAAAATAACTTACCGCAAATGTACATAAAATGACATGCCATGAAAACCAATAATTATAATTTTGTATGGGTATCCAACACACATACACAGCAATGCCAGCCAATGAAAACCGTGTAAAATAATTTAACAAAAATCTAATAAGGGTAATTTTAAAGTCTTCTACTTCATCGGGCTTCATTATAACAATTACTTTACAGATTAAAACAAATTCACCGCACTTTTATTGTGTACTCAACAATATTAAGTGAATATTGTTAAATCGGTATTCCCCCTTTTCTTAGTATGTTATGTTTGTGGAATATTAATGTGTTTTGTTTATAAATAGAATATTTATAAGATAAGTACTAGCTGAATCCCCGCGGCTTTGCTTTCGTGGTTCTAAGAAAAAATAAGGGGTAATATCAACATTAAACCAAACTGCCGCCTCTGCCTCAAAACATCTCCTTACCAAATTTCATTAAAGTCGGTTTAGCAGTTTAGGTGTGAAAGAGGAACAGACAGTCTTTATAATCGCATTTATAATATGTTTATGAATTGAGTTACCAGGAAGTATTTTTATTTAAAAAAAGTAAATAAGTTTTGTTTATAATTATCAATGTGCATTTTTGTCAATGAATATAATAATAGATAAGGTTTAATATTAATACTAATTTCTGAATTATCTATACGTGAGTCAAATTGATTGATAACATTGTAAAACGGAAATTTAATTAGTTTTAGTTTAGTTATGCAAAAATGCAAATTAGTCCCGGTGCCATTCGCCATTTTTTTCTTCAAAAATATAATATGGTTATTTTTTATATTTTTATGGCTTTAAATAAAAATATTAAACTTTCTTAAAAACATTTATTAAAAAAAATATATAAAATAATTAACATTCAAATAAATAACCGAACAACGAAATTAACCTATCTTGCAAAAACAGTTTTAAATTGATTATAAAACGATTTTAAAGCCCCCAGAAGGGCCATGGCAGTCATGATACTTATGGCCCATGTCAGGGCCACCCTTGTTTCGGGGGAGGTGTGAAAAAGAATGGCGTGTTTTTCCAGACCAAGTGCCAAACTGGCACAACCGATACTAAAAGATGATATTCCCAAAAAATTGTGCAAGAATTTTATGTATATTGGCTTTATGTAATTTTCGAAAGGTTTGGAAAATAACGCTGCTAGACCACCGAAAACTGCCACCATGGCCAGAAGCCAAGAAACAAGACCTAAGAAATTTTATTTAAAAGATTCTCATTCAAAAATGTTTAGTAACCTACCTGTAATTCCATGATTTGTGGTAAAATGTTCAGAATTACTGGTATTTTTCTGGTATATTTTAAAAGATATGCCAATGGTCGTAGAAATTACAGCAAGGCCCATTAAAATACCGTGGATATACCCATTGACTCTTCTATTTAAATCTTGGGTAAACGAGCTATTTTTTGAAAAAATCACTATTGCTTCTGCCATAAAAAGTCCATACTAAAAAATTTTAATTATAGTCAAATAAAAAAATATACACAAAAAAACTACTTACTCCTAACGTGCACAAAATATAGTGCCATGTTTTATAACTATTTAGCTTAGAATGTTGCACAATAATAGTCAAAAGCACAACGGTCACTACTGCCACTAGATTGTGAAATAAAATATTCGCAATCCAAAAAAATCTAGTTTTCATAGATATGTTTAAAGTTGCCATTGTAATTATTGCTTTTAAATGATCTTATTTATATTTACAAACATATTTTATACATTTTTTGAGACAATTATCTTTGGCACGTATTGTTGTATTAATAATATATATCAGATCAGATAAACTATAACCTATAGACGCCTTACATCTAATACGAGTATGTGTTTTAACATTTTGTAATGGTATCGAAAGGAATTTGGTGTTGGGAATTTTGAAATAGGGGAAACCCTAAAAATAAATTGTTTTTTATTATTTATTTATTATAGAATTTGTTTAAAAAAATTTTTTTATTATTTTTTATCGGGTAATTATGTATATTTATGCACTTTTTTGATAAACCTAAACAACAAGTTTTTAAAATCTCAAGACTATAATAATTATTTTGTTGTATTTTACAAATATTCAATAATTAAAATAAAAGTATCAAATATATAAATTTAAGGCTACAAAACATTATTAAAATCATAATTGAGAAATTCACTATTGGTAGCATAAAAGTAAAAATTCCTGAAGTAAGCATGGTGTTTTCAACATGGTAATAAAAATTTGGGTCGCGGGCCATACGAGATGGGTCGCGGGACTTTTTGAAAAAGCGCGCCCTAATCACTGCATCCTGACTCGAAATGCACCGTGCCATGCAAGGGGCCCTGATAGCAAAATTTGATTCTAAGAATCTTCTAAGAAGATATAACCCGGAATAATGGAATATTCTTAGAACCTTCCCATATTGCTAAGAATGTTCTTAGGGACTTTTAAAACATTTAATAGATACCCTTTTAATGATGCAATTAGATTCTTAGAAGCTTCTTAAAACCTTCCTAAAAAGCATTCTAAGAACATTTTAAGAATACGTTTTTGGAATGTTCTTAGAAGGTTTCTTATGGAGCTTCTAGGAAGCTTTTGAGAATATTTCCAAATATGTCAGATACCCACGTTCTAATATGTTGGATTCTACATTCGTAAAATTCTTCAAGAGGCGACAAATAGGCCTTACTGTCATAATATGACAGTGAAATGTATTTGTCGTCCCCTTAAAAAAATTTGCGACATATTAATATATATTTATTTAAAAATATTAAATAAACAATTTGACCTCTAAACCATAAGTTGTATGACATTATTTCATAAAAAGTAAAATTGGAAAATTTTGTGGGATAAGTCAGATTAGATTGAAGTTGAAGATAGTTAGGATTATTATACATAAAAATGTTAATTCAGATATAAAAAACGGTATACAAATTAATAAATATTTATTTTTAACATAAAATAAAACACCTATAGTAAAAGTATTTTTGTTATCTAATATTGTTTTAATTTGATAAATAACTATAAAAAATATTTTGGGTTGTTTTTTACTTAGTATTTAATACTAATTACTTTCTCAACATTCTAAGCATATGTTTAGAGTGGATTAATTTTTACCACTAAACTTTGCATCCTAAGAATATTCTCACTGGAAGGTTTAAAAAACATTCTTAGAACATGCCTAGAAGATATATAGCATGATCCTACGAATATTCTCACTGGAAGGTTTAAAAAACATTCTTAGAACATGACTAGAAGTAATATAGCATGATCCTAAGAATATTCTCACTGGAAGGTTTAAAAAACATTCTTAGAATAAACTGTGCTATCAGGGGGGCGGTTATTACTAATAGATAACTCGTACCATGATTTTTTTATATTTGTGTTAGTTGATTCCTAAAAAATGTTAAACTTACTTTGAATAAAGAAAATGTAGAAAATTGATTTTTTTATTTTTTATCGGGTCGCGAGCTCCCAATATTTTTGAATTGTGGGTCGCCAGTCAAAAAGGTTAAGAACCGCTGTTTTAGAGTATACAAATACATACCTTTTAGAAGCCAGACGTGATTAAAAAATTGTAATCGTTATAGTGTAAAATAAAAATTATTTTTTTACGCGGCAACGCGTTGCAATGGCCCTGCTTTGATAGGGATCGCCTGTTTTAATCGTACTTAAATTAACAATAATTTCAAATAAAACCAAACTCTGGATTTACGTTTGTAGAAAAAACTTAATTTTAAACGTTTTTGTGAAATCGCTAAAAAACAGACAAAAGAGAAGGCGGTTTAGCTGTATCAGGTCTAAAAAAGTTTTTCCTATAGGAAATCCGATCCGGAGACACACTGTATACTGGAATATTATAATTTGTATAATAATATATGTCACCTCTTGTGCAAACATTCCTATGCTTTTTATTTTATTTAATATAATATCCTCAATTTTACTCAATAAAAAATAACAAAATTTTTTTTGAATTTCCTAAACTTTCGTAAGTATATCTTAGTATGTATATCATAAGGGCATCTAATTTTTCCGAAAAAAATCTACGACCAAAAATTAAGTTTACGTGTCCGAGCGTTTAGTTTTACCTCCCTACAGTGTAATTATGGTCATCAGCAATTTGAATCCCGGACATTTAGCAGTCAACTTCTATGTCAAATTGTCCGCTAAATCCGAAAATGTCGTCAAAAGTTATAAAAGTATATAGAACAGTTTTTGAGATATAGTCAGAGGCGGATTAAATGTCGAGAGCGCCCTAGGCAAGCACCTCATCGGCGCCCCTCTAGCGGCCATATATTTTCTATTACTTATATAATGGAGTAGCGTGGTGCGCCAGGGCTCGTCTGGTGCTGGAACCTCGAAGCAGACTGAAGAAAACTAGGTGCTGAGGCCGTACCATGATACACTCCGTCATGGACACCATACGGGTAAGCCAAATCAACCTACATCACTGCAAGGATGCTGCTGGGGAACTGGCAAGCGTCTTGGCAGGGAGGGAGGGCGAGATTGTCCTGGTACAGGAACCGTATGTTTACAGGAAAGGGGTTAGAGGAATGGGTGCCACTGGCCTAAACATCATGGTCGGCACTGAGGAGGAGAGCAGCAGAACATGCATACTGACGTCCAAGGAACTCAATGTGCTACCACTACCACAATTGGGGGCCAGGGATGTCACGGCGATTCTGCTGGAATATAAGGTAAGAGGCATTAGAAATAGAATTATATTAGGAAGCGTCTATTTACCGTACGAGGCCCTACTCCGGAGCTAACTCGTTTAATCAAGTTCGCGAGTGACAAGTGCATACCCCTCGTGCTAGGATGTGATTCCAACGCCCACCACTACGTGTGGGGCAGTACCAACACCAATAGCAGGGGAGAATCTCTGCTAGGGTATTTGGCATCAACAGACTTAGAGGTAATAAACAGAGGCAAAGAACCAACGTTTGTTATTTGCAACCGGAAGGAAGTAATAGACATAACGTTGGCATCAAGGTCAGTATATGAAGATGTTTCTAACTGAAGAGTGACCAACGATATAACGATGTCTGATCACAGGATGATCAGATTTGAGTTAAATGTCGACAAGGTCACTCCTAACCCAAGGAGGAATCCAAGGGCTACAGATTGAGAGAAATATTTCACCAATCTAAAAAGTCAAACTTGGGAACCTCCTGTGGACATTACCACCAAAGAACAGTTAGAGAAGGAAGTTAACCACCTAAATAGTACGATTGCCACAGCCAACGAGATTGCTTGTCCGGCCAAGGTGGCTAAGGGCCGAAAGGTTCCGTGGTGGAGTGACGTGCTTGACGACCTTCGAAAGAAGGCAAGGCGCGCATTCAACCGGGCTATCAAGGATGGGCTGCAATCCACGTGGGATACGTACAGGGAGGCTAGAAAGTCTTACAAAAAAGAGTTAAGGCGCAGCAAGGATATCAGCTGGAAGACATACTGTGGAACTGTAGAGTCACTTCAGGAGTCAACCAGGCTGATGAAGATCCTTAGCTGTGACTCAAAAAGGAATGTAGGAATCCTAAGAAGGTTGGATGGATCGTGGACGAACACCAGTGAAGAGTCCCTAAGACATCTCCTGGAAACGCACTTCCCCGGCGAAACTCCTTCCCACACGTCAACAACGGAGGGGCCAGAGATCCTTACCTGGGACTTAGGCCTTGCCAAAGACGTTGTGAAGGAGGGATCGGTGGAATGGGAGTAAATGCGTTCGATCCATACAAGGCAGCAGGACCGGATGGAATATTCCCAGCATTGCTACAGAGAGGCTTGGAGATTCTTCTCCCAGGAATAGAACGAATATTCCGAGCCAGTCTGGCACTGGGATATGTCCCAAGAGCCTGGAGGGCAGCTAAAGTGGTCTTTATACCCAAAGCAGGGAAAAAAGACTACTCGGCTGCAAAGTCCTTCAGGCCAATAAGCATGTTAGCTTTCTTTTTAAAACATTAGAAAGGATTGTGGACCGGTACCTGCAAGAAGGGGTGCTGAAAAGGTACCCATTCCATAAGAATCAACATGCCTATAGAAATGGAAGGTCGACCGAAACGGCTCTTCATTCTATAGTGCATAGAGTCGAAAAGGCACTGCACTACAAGGAAATGGCACTAGCTGTTTTCTTTGATGTAGAGGGGGCTTTTGATAAGGCGAGGACATCTACAATCTGTGAAGCGCTACAAGCCAGAGGCACTCCCCCAGTCCTGGTTAGTTGGGTTAAATCCTCACTGGAGGAGAGGCAGGTCAGTGCATCTCTGGGAGACTGCCATTTGGACATCGGTGTGAGGGGCGGCTGCCCACAAGGCGGCTGCCTATCACCCCACCTATGGTGTTTAATAATGGATGGACTTCTGGAGAGACTGACGGCCGAAGGGCTGTATGCACAAGCATATGCAGATGATGGTACAGTCCTAATCAGAGGAGGCATTCTAGGTGTAGTCTGCGACAGAATGCAGACAGCATGCAGAAAAATAGAAAATTGGTGCAAAGAAAACGGTCTGTCGGTTAACCCAACAAAAACTGACATGATTCTTTTTACCAAACGAAGGAAGATACAGGACTTCAGGGCACCAGTCATGTATGGAAGACCTCTTGAGATTACTGAAGAGGTCAAGTACCTAGGTGTTACCCTAGATAGGAAGTTAAGTTGGAAATCACACGTCGACAGAGTTGTTGACAAATCGATTGCAACTTTCTGGCA